ATCGAAACCCGGTTTTTATCGTTGTAATTCCTCAGACTTACCACTGAGACACTGGGGGTATAATATTTGTTCTCACCAGGGATTTAACCTGGGCCATTCCGTGATGTATACAAAAATATCTCAAAACGCCACTGCTTAATCAGTAGTATTAAATCTTTTTATACATTATATGTTGTGAGCTGTACATAAATTAATATAATTCAAGCCAGTAACTCTATAAGTAATCCAACTTATGGTTATTATTCACAGTGGGCACAAGCTCGCAACACAGTCATCGCTTATTATCATATACTATGAACGTCTGTTGTTTTAACTTTTCGCGCCAAGCCACACAAAGGGTTATCTGCTGCTTATTGTCGTCCCTAATCTTGAAATGACAGAATAGATGTAAGGCAGCTAGTCAACAGTATCCACCGCCAACTCTTGTTTGAAGGAATAACGAGATGTGACCATCACTCTTAATTCACACCCACGGCCTCAAAATGCGAAGCGAATTTTTGCGGGCAGTAGGAAACATGAATAATAATAATAAAACTACACTGTTCGTCTTTGTAGCTAAATCAGCGTTAGTGATACCCATATTAACAATATGGAACGCGCATGTTCCAGAGTTAGCAAATCCAAACAGTCTGATAAACAGAAGATAAAATATTTGTTGACCGATAACTCAACTACAGCCCAAGCTTCATAAAACTTACTAAACAACATATTCACATACACAGACAATATGGAATTCGACTATTAGTTATAGAAACGCTGTTTCCAAGAAGAGAATACATACGGTAAAAAAACCCAATATATATGTTATATAAATATATATATATGTAAATCAGTGTACAAATCAAAAACAAAAATCGACCATACACATGCGAAATTATAAAATATCGTATCAGTTCAACAAATATTATAATTCTTATAAAAAAATATGCCCTTTCAGACTTCCAGTACAGTACGAACATATACATTTTGTTAAAGTTTAAATTTCCTTCATCAGGTGAGCGTATTTTGTATTTATGACAAAGTTACTAAGGCTATCTGTTGCCGTCCCTACTTTACCAGAAGGAAGACAATCAGTCACCGACAACCTGCAACCAACCATTCATGCTATGGAATTGACTATCACTTTTATAACGCACCTGTAGCTTAAAATACAGGGAATATTTTGTGGTATTGCACGGATTCGAACCCGGCTCGCTAGCTCCGAAACACAGAGTTATACCATAGATGGGTGGCCTGAGCCCCTCATATGAGTGGAAGATATATGTTTTTCCACACCTAGAAGAAACACCTGTAAAAAGTTTTGCCTCCAACAGTTGTATTATTCAATGATACATGCACTACTCCACAGAGTATCATTATTATTATAATTATTATTATTATTCGGATGAGTTACTTCAGTCCTACATCTAAATATCTAACTCACGGTAAGAGTTATTGTGCGCACCTTTTCAGATAATACAACATCCTGGCAATAAGAAACATGTCTACCTGTCTGTCTGTCTATATGTAGTTATTATAGGTGAAAATTTGCTACCTACAATTCCCATGGTACACATGTGAAAATAAAGTATAAAATTTCGCGCTTCTCAGAAAAAAAGAAAAGAAAAAAGGTTGGGTGAAAAATATAGCAAAGAAGTTGCGAAAGCGTCATCAACCATAAATTAAGAACTAAATTATTCTAGCACTATTGTGGCTCGATTTTTTTTTTCTTGCATACTTTGAAAAATAATATATAAATACAAAATACGATATTGTAAAAACGAAAAAAAAAAGGACAAAAAAAAGAACGTTTGAGACATGTAGAAAGTCGTTAAATATCACTAATCGGCTCTGTTTAAACGTTCTAAAATCACTGAGTAGCTTACAAACAGCAGCTGCTTGAGCATTAATTTTCCCCAGAAGAAACGGTTCTGTGTAGATCAAAAGAAAATGCAGAAGCGCGAAGAGTACTTTTAGTGAGTATTCTGCCTGAACCTCAAGAGTCACGCTGTCTCGAAGACTGGAATCTCTTATCTGTATTTACTGTCTATACAAATCTTTATAGCTTCTCACATAAATTGTTTTAAGTCACAATTAAAATTGGGGTGAGGACAAATCCGAAAACATTTTTGTACAATCACTTCCGGCAAAACCTTCTACCGAAAATATATTTTAGTCAAACTGGCACCATAAAGCTCAGCGTGTGTAACACATTCCCACTTCATAGAATACAACAGTTAGTCAACAGTGTTGTCTTAGAAAATGTGCTTAATCCAACAACAACAGAAGAAACTCGGTTAGGGTGAGAAAGTTACAGCAATGTCCATCTGTATTTAAAATATGTGTGTGTGTGTGTGTACAAATTAAAGCATGATAATAAGATAAGGGGCCCTTTATCCATTGTTAAATCTGCACAAATAAGTGAAATATGAATACGAATACCAAGTTTCATAAATGAAATAAACACGATTAACGATGAATATTTACATCGGAGATCTTGTAGAAATGCATGTTGTGACAATGAAAACATCATTACAGTAACATAATTATTTTTACACAAGAGACACGAGCATTTTGGCAGCTTAATGTTGTATAAAACCCTTATTGATATTCAAAGTAGAACTTAAGATTAAAGGTACAAAAACCTTCTAGACCACCCAATATCTCTCCAAACTAGGTCAGCTACTTGGTACATGGCCCATATTATGTTACTAACCTAACTTCCATAATTAGGGCTTGCCTCGGGAAAGACTGAACAGACGCAAGTATACCGTGTATTCAAATTCTCGGGTTGGAAGTTTATCACTTTCAAACGGGAGGACTGTCCTATCAGTCAACTATAGTCCAGTTTTTATGAACACGTTCCTCCCATTGCATAAGAACAGAAACATGTTTAGAATTGTTGGTAACTATAAACTCAAATATTAAGCCGTATAACGAAACGTTACTCGCAACTTTTTCTAATCATTGTTACTTTTTAATGAGTGATAGAAAAAAGAATGACCGTGTATAACCTTACTAGATGAAATTACCATCATTAATATTCCCGTGTCATATCGTCAACATTTTTAGCCCTGTAATTTCAAGACACGAAGGTAATTTACTACTTTAATTGAAATTAAACATAAATCAAAGTGGATGTTAGCAAAACTTAACACTGTTCGTGTAACGAATAGAAAAGTTTCTGGGATTTTCAGTCTTAAGCTCAACAACTAACGAAGTGTTGCGATTGCAAACAACCTCATAACCGCACATAAATAAATTTCCAACTAACCATAAACCATCCAGAAAAATACAAGAATCTAATGACTCAGTAAGTTTCTTTTGTGACATTAAAGCAACAAGAACAAAAAATTCCGGTAAAATAAAATATCAACATTAGTTATCTTTCACATTTTAAATGGTTTAACTTGTTCATCCATTTCTTTTAACTTATACAGAATATCCACACTTGATCTAAACTGTGTGTGTGTGACATGGATACGATTTTTCTCAAATTTGACCTAATAGTCACCAACCTACTAAGTAAATACTGTGTAAAATGAAAGAAAATAAATAGTGCAAAATAAAGATACTAGAACTCAGTTCAACCAGCAAGTACAACTTACATTTGCGTACGCGTGCCCTTACAAGACTGACAAAGTTTGTAAAATCGGCATCGAAAAGCATCACACAACAACAGTTTTGTCCATGTCAGTAACACTATTAATGTTCTTACAAAATAAACTGTGAAATGATCAACAATGTTTTACTGATAATATGTTTTTGTAACCCAGGAACAAGAAAATTTGAGGCGTTTCGTTTGTATTTCTCATTAAACTCGCTCACAAAGGTGAACTAATTATACACCTTAAGTACCATTGGAAATACAGCTTCAAAATTATTGATACTTGTTTGATTACAGCGCGAATACTGTCTGATTCGAAACTACATGCATGAGATGAAACTGTAAATTATATTTGTCTAAAAAATATATATTATTTATAACTACAGTTCAAACTTCGAATGGACATTGAATTGTAAGAAATACAATTATTTTATTTTTTGTAACAAAGCACGCCAATAACTGGTGACTAATTGATTATAGTCTACAATATTTCAATAATTACAAGTATACACAATCTAGAACAATTTTTTTTCAGCAGTGATTCGTAACAAATTCTTGTTACAGAAACATTTATTGCCGTTTTACAATTAAATACATAATTATTAACAAGAAAATTAAACCTTTCTGAAAATATCCACAGATACATATTGTAATAAATGTCTTAGCAGCTCTTATGAGTTTAATATTGATTACCCACAAAAGTACTATTAGTATTACGTTGATGCTCTTACTCGAAAGTTTACATTATCTTAATGTGAATATAGGTACATCGCAGGCATATACTACAGTAAAGATCGAAAAGTTATAAGCCTACAGACAATTCAGTTGAATGATCCAGAAAAAAACGTTTTTTATACTTAAAAAAATCTCAACTTTTCAGTTTTACATCGTTATCAGGGTTAAACACTTATACCTGAAAAATATTTAAGAAATATGATTTAACAAATTATCTGAAACTAATAAAAAAAACGATTGCTACTATCTACTGGTTTTGTTTTTCTTTATGGATAAAAAAGGGGGAAGAAATCCCTTTTTCCTCTCACTCTTAAATATACCAAAGTATCTCCAGCCTGATGTACGTTTTGTTTGAAAACATTTTAAATATCCCCTTTAATATTGAGCAACAAAACGCTACAGTAAGTTCTTTTGCTAACAAATTATCGCCACCACAGGCACGATGATACAGCTTTGCTATCATATGAACCGTTTTTTCGGCTATAAATATTTACAGATATTTTCTAATCTCAGAAAACTGGCGTTTATAACTTGGCCAAAATTCTGTTTAGTGGTGAGATAATGTATTAAATTAACCATTACTACCACCAGAATATGGAAACGTCCATATAGCCTGTACAAATTATAACCCTACGGCTAGTACTACTACAGTAGTAGAACGTCCTTCAATATCACTCACCTGTTTTCTCCTTGATCTCACAGAGAACACTGAAGAGGGCAGGCTTCATTCGATGACAATTTAGTGTATGTTTCCTGAAAGAATAAAGAAAAAATTATCTAATCTACCGCTAGAACTACCCATTTTAAAGTATCATGGTATTAAAGTAGGCTTAGCTAGCAGTACCACTAGCTTAACTATGCAAGGATAACCCATTGAGTACGGTTATTACGTTTGCTCTATCGGAAATTCTCCGGGAACTCTAGCCTACCTCGCTTGAGCTTCGTCGAGGCTTTGATCTGTTATATTCATTATCTGCTGAAGGATATCGGAAATGTCATGTTTTCTAGCTTCTTGGTCTGGGGCATGCTGTTGATTTGTAGGATCCACGCCATGTGGTTGTTGTGGCATGCCATAACCGTGTTGGGGTACAACATGACCCGCCATGCTGACCGAGTGATGCTGAGAAACTGGATGCATCATTCTTTGTTGATCGTCCATGCTTCAACACCACCCTCGCCAAACAGACACAACGGTGTGGCTGTCCGTCTAGCGAAGGCCACACTCTGTCTCCAGCCTTAACGCCTCACCACAGCACACGCGCACGACCATCCATAAAACTACGAGTAGTACACACGTTATAGTAAACCAACTGTAATTGAGTGTTTTGATTGAAATACCTTTGACGGACAGCAAGAAGCTTCAAGGGTGGGTTGAACGATAATGCCAGTCATACCACTTCGCCATAAAAGATGAGCGTTTTCTGTGATGAGGGCTACGTCAGTGAAAAATATTGGCCAATCAGAATCAGGCATCAGAGTCACATTTCAACCTTGGACGGCTGTCAATCACTGTTCATTCCATAAGAAAGCCTATAACTTAGCTCCTCCTGCTAAGTGTGATTGATGACAAGCGGAACTTCCGGCTTTTATGAAACTGAGCATGCGCCTTTCTTTCTTTCTTTTTTCCAAAATGAGGCATGCTCATAGAAATAACGAAAATTAGATTTATACATATCTACACTAAATAGTCTCTGTTTGAAAACCTGATCAAACGAAAGACTACACCGAATAAAAGAAAAATAGTTAACAAATGTATGCCATTATCATTAGTTTTGTAACCATTTATGAACCTCATATGTGTTTAAAGTATTATTTAATTTATTATTCAAACCTCAATTTAACTCTAAAATACACAATCTTTCAATAAGCAATTCATATTCCTTTTTAACGCGTCGATTTATCTTTTTTTCCCCTTCATTGTCGCAAATAGCAGTTCCACGTATTAGCTATATCAGGACCAAAATGGCAGGAAAATTTGTAAACCTGTGTTGATTTTATTAACCAATACCAATGGGCTTGCTTGAAAATTGTAATTGACGTTGAACTTGTAATGTTGTAGATTCAGTTTACACTTATAGTTTGTTGACTACAGTTTCTCAAAGTATTTGGGTATGCTTGGTTTTCATTGATATATCATGATAAGTGCACAATTTTAATCTACTTTTATAAAACTTACTGGTTAGTACTACTAATACTAGTCTTAAGATCAAACTTCGAATAAACCGTTAAATGTAAACATGACAACACGTATCACTATTTCTATTAGTATTAGTGTACTCATGTTAAACTTTAAACTAAGAGTTGAAATCAAACTGTGTAATGTAATGAAACTTTAAAGTTATTATTACTTATAAAGTATTATAACTTAATAAATGTAGAATTTTTTACCTAACTTTGGCGTGATTAGGCTGCTTTAACTGAGTTTAAGTTGCTGCAGTTTAGGGTAAATACCAATTACTAATGCCTCTATGCCGTACTCCGTTTTACTCGTGTTTTTTCATAATATTTCTTTCAAAATTTCTGTTATTAAACTAAAAGAGACGGGAAATTGAAAAACATCTTGCTATCGCTTTTTCACATAATGATATCACAAAGTTTGCTTTATACTGTAGTTTTCATTGAATGGTGAAGATATTTTATAACTTAATTTATTAAGAATAACTCAATAAGATACTTAGATAGGCTAAGATCTATAAGTATAACTTGTAAATTTAACGTTAGTATACACTATACAGTAATTAAAAAAAAAATCCAGTCATGCATAAGCCTACATTCTTTTATTAGTAAAAGTTTAATATTAATAATAGTGTGGTTTAGTAGCAAGGAAGCACAGCAAGTTGTTTCTGACTGGACTTATACGTTATTAGTATTGCTTGTAAAGCTGAAAGACCTGGCATAGTGCTTTAAAAAAGTGAATAATTTATATTATGTAGTACAATTTCAGTACAGACCAATATTTGCGAATTTTGTGACAAAAGAAAAATAGTGCAATACAAAAAACAGTGCTTCCCAACAGTGAAGCCTGTAGGTTCAAAAACAGATTCTGACTGCTCTTGTAGTGGGAAAGAAAACTCTTCATTTTTATTTTTTACAAATGTAACATAACAGATAACTATAAACATTTGTATTTAAATAGTTTTTAATATATGAAACAAATTTTAGACTGCTTAAAATGTAATTTAAAATTCTAACTCTTGCTTTGTTCTGCATATATTATCTCCAATACTTAATGGGTGGAAGCTACCCACTGTTTTTGAACTTTGGCATTTACAACCAATATCTGTGTCAATACATAGCCATTATCAATCTGTAAGGACACTATATATTTAAAAAATGTGCACTAAGTACACTAGTTTTCAACAACCCAGGGAACTCTTAGATTCATTTGTTAATATTTTACAACTTGAATCATTGCATTATTATTGAAATTTATTGAGATACAATCCTCCACATGATGTTTGATTTGAATTGACTGGATTGTATTATATACCAGCTATAAAATATATGTCACTGTGGTTTTTCTTACTTACAAAAATTAGAATGCATTGTTTCTTTAGTTGTTAACAAGGTTTGGCCAGCTCAGGAGATTTAATGTAATAAAAAATAATAAGACTAGATATATTGAATATTGTAACCAACACTGTTAATGAGAGTAACATAAAGAAAGAATAGAGATTGTTTGTTTCTCTCATAAAAAAAGGTAATTTCCACAATCCAAGTTCACTTTTTATGTCTTTCAATATTAAGATACATTTTCCAAATTCTTGCTCGCTCTCTTAGACTAGTTGGGGCCAACTGAGGTAAATAAATGTTCACAACAGTAGCAGGCTTACCAAAGGTATTTAACGATTAGAAAATGTGAATAAGTTACTGCTTAAGGGGGTATCTAAATGATAATCAATGAGGTAAATAATAAATAACAAAAGATCTCAAAATAGAAAAATGAGGGACTAGTTGCCCTACTAGTAATATCTTTTCAGTCAAAATATTTCATCTGTTTTTGTTTGTTACCATAAACTCTGTACTCTGCTCAACCAATTCGTGGATTACTTCCAGAGTAATTCAGTATCAAAACACATATATATGTCACTGAATAGCTATAGATCCTCTGAAATAAAATAAATGTTTATCAGTATTAGCACTGCCAATCACTTCTATTTCCTTTATTGAAGCTAACATACTATAATAAAAGAGATGTTCCTATTCTTATCCTTATTCTTAACATTTCAAAAAGAAATGTTTTGGAAAACTATTTGAGAGTAAAATATAAGTACTGATCCTTACAAAATTTGTTCTAAAAATCTTGAAGAAGCAAAGTAGAAAGAGAACAGAAACATTTTTTTTTTCAAAAGTTGCTTTATGTAGAGGAAATTCCTGTTTGAAAAATTGTCAGTGTTATCCCTATTTTAAAATGCCCCCCCCCCCATCCCAGTGGCTTTGTGGTAAATCTGAATAATGCTAAAAACCAAATTTTGATGTTCATGGTGGGTACAGATAGACCATTTTGTAGCTTTGTGCTTTAACAAAAAACAGTCTTAAAGTGGTGGATGTTGAGTGAGAACTTAACAAATTCTGAAGTGTTGGAATCTTTTTTTTTTGTGATCACATAAAAAGTAGAATTATGGAATAAGAAGTCAGAGTAAGTGTTTATGAAACAGATAATTTTTAGTAACATTGAATATTCTATATTAGTTTTTAGACAATGAAGAAAGAGCTTTGTCTTGATGTAAAACAAAGGCATGTCTAGCAACGGAAAAACCAAAAAGCATTTGTTTAGAATATTGTAAAACAATTAAAACTAAGTGTAAGCAGTATTCATTAAACACTTGACCTACATGTACATGTCCTGTGACTGTGATGGAGTGAATTCAACAAAAATATTCAGTAAGACACAATGTCTTTTCATGCTGCTTCTCCTTCGACTTCTGTCATTACAGTAGCAACTAAATCATTTCAGAACAGATATGATATGCCTATTGAATTTCATAATGAATCTTATAGTATAAGTGAAGAAAATGAAAGTATTTCATCATTTTCTATTTCAAATAATCCGTAAAGTGTTGGAAGCCTGCATTAAGTTGATACTATTTGATTCATGAGTAGAATGTTGCCCACTATTTGGTTCATGTGTAGAATGTTGCCTGATCAGAAGAGAGAATATGATTAGTTGTTTGCTTATATTACTTATGCAAAGAAACACCTTTTTCATGTTCAAAATGCTAATGCCCAAGTCATTTTTCATAAGCTTTCCCAATTACCAACCTTCCAAAAGTGAAGTACTAACCATGGATTTAGAGATATTTGATATTTCTAACTACTTGTAAAGTACATTGACCTTTCACAGAATACAAAGCCATCAGCCCTTGGTCCTTACAAGCTGAGCCCTTTTGCATTTTTCTTCACACCATGTGTAGACTAGTGACATAACCTTCTGTTGGCACACTGATGTAACTGAAGATCATAATTTTATTACTGTTTGTCAGAAAAACACTTTTTAAGTGCTCAAAAAATCTTGTACATAAATAAATGAAAGAATGTATTTTTGAAACTTTTTGATATTTAATAGAACTGGATGATTATAGTGGTTGCATATGAGTAGCAATTACATCAAAATAGTTGATTAATCAGAATTACAATTAAATCAATTAATGTTATGACAATAATCAACTAATCAAAAACTAATGTATTTCCAGTTATTGTTTTTGATTGTTCCAGCTATCTATCCACCGAGATGGACCGATAGTTCCAAGGTTGTCCCAAAACATTATGTTATGTTATTATTTTCAATTAATTTTTGGTTGCTCAGCTGAATAGATTAGTGTTACAACTCATGGAATTAATCAACTAAATGAAATTTGTTTCGATTGTTGCTATTTTTTATTAGATGAATATAATTGATTAGCACAATCCAAGAATTGTCTCTGATTTGTATTATAGCGCAAATGTTTTAAATTTTTTGTAGATAATGCAGTTTTTTTATCTTGAATCTTCTTGACTTGTATTAAAGACCTGCCATTCCAAATATTTTTTTAAACTTTAGTTACTTATTTCATGGTTTATAACACTAAAGGCTTTTTTTCTTATATCTCTTGTTGTGTGAGGGGCAAATACTTTTTCAAATATCGTATCTTCTTTTTAATGAGTTTGACCATTCAAAATAGTCTTGGATTGCTAATTATACAAGGTTTGAGCAGTCAATTGATTCATACAGTGTTCAGAGGCTTCAAAGGAAACTGGTTCTTGAACAGTAATAATTTTGAAACATGGATATTTAAAATGCCTTTTTTCATTGCAGCATTTTTATGTATGTAACTGGCTAAGGGATTTATTGATTTCTGACAGTTAAAATCATAATAATTTAAATTGATGAGATATGAGTTAGTTTTTGATGGGAAAAAAAAACAATATCTGAAAATTAGAATAAATATCCTCTCTGTTGCCTATTGTGCCAAACTAAAATAGGTACTCTTCTAACCAGTATAAGTTTATAAAAAGATTACTAAGCTGTATATTTCTTTTTAACTACACTCATTGGCCACATGATTAAAATATATATATTGTAAATTGCTAATGGAGAAGAAGAAAGTCTTTCTAATAACACATATATATAGGTTTGACTATGAAGTATTTTCAATAATTGTAATTGAACTGTATGTACTAATCAACTTGAAAAATACTGCAAGCAATGTCTTAAACTTATAACCAAAAATATATTTTAAAGTAATATGTAACACTTAGTAAAGCTATAGTACATCACACATTATAAACTTTTGATATATCGTTATTTTTTAAAGCATGTAGTATTATCAGATATATCACTTAGTACTTTAAAGATATGAATACATTTATGTGTGATTTGGTGTGAACCTAAGCCTAATTTTCTAATTTTCGCCTTGTAGTAGTCAACACAGAACCTTATGGATTCATCCTTTTTCTTCATAAGTACAGTAGGTGATTCCCATGGACTAGCACTTGATTTTATCACTCCTTGTTCTGTCATGGCTTCTATCACTTTGAAAGTCTCAAACTGATTTGCAAGTGAGAGTCATCTGTCTAGTTGTCATATTGGGCTTGCAATATTTATTTATTTGTTTGGCCTAAGCCATGAT